ACGGCCATGCGCGCCGCCGACGCGTCGACGCGGAAGCGCGCGCGCGACGACGGCGACGCACGCGCGTCGTCGCCGTCGACGCGGGACGAGGACGCGTTGTGGAATGAAAAGTTTGCGGCGTACTACGCCGAGCAGCGCGTGTGCGCGACGACGGCGGATCACGCGGCGATGATGGCGGCGTTTCGTCGTCCGTTGCCGCTGACGTTTCGATTGAACGCGTCGGCGGCGCTGGTGGGGTCGACGCTGCGGCGATTGGAGGGAGAGGTGCTCCCGGCGTTGGGCGACGGGCGGGACGCGGCGGCGCCGAAGTGCGCGGAGTGGTATCCGAATCGACTGGCGTGGCAGATCGATCTGTCGCAGGGGATGAGTTTGAAAACGAGCGACTCGGTCGCGGTGCGGGGGTTGCACGCGTTTTTGAAGACGGCGACGGAGACGGGGGCGCTCACGCGGCAGGAGTTGGTGTCGATGATACCGCCGTTGTTCTTAGACGTAGAGCCGGGGCATTTGGTGATGGATATGTGCGCCGCCCCGGGATCGAAGACGTCGCAGTTATTAGAGATGTTACACGAGGCGTCGGGGCCGAGTGAGACCCCGCGGGGGGTGGTGGTGGCGAACGACGCGAGTCTGCAGCGGGCGAATTTGTTGACGCATCAGTGCAAGAGGAGCAACTCGCCCGCGCTCATCGTGACCAATCACCAGGCGCAATTGTTTCCAATCTTGCACGACGCGAAGGGTAAGAAATTGAGGTTCGATCGCATCTTAGCCGACGTGCCTTGCAGCGGAGACGGGACGCTGAGAAAGTCACCAGATTTGTGGAGGAAATGGAACGCGAGCTCGGGGGTAGATTTACACACCTTGCAGCTCGAGATCGCCACGCACGCGTTGCGCTTGCTCGACGTCGGCGGACGATTGGTCTACAGCACGTGTTCGCTCAATCCTTTGGAGAACGAAGCCGTGGTCGCGGCGCTGTTGAAACGCGCCGGCGGCGCGGTGGAGCTCGTCGACGTCTCAAAGTCGCTCCCAAAGCTCAAGCGACGACCAGGGATGAAGTTGTGGAAAGTGGGCGATGTCTTCGGTTGGCACAACTCCTTCGAAGAAACGGGAACGAAGCGTCAGAAGACGATCGCGAAGACTATGTTCTGGGAGGCGTCCTATGAGCAGTTCCCGCTCGAGCGATGCGTGCGCATTTTTCCACATCTCGATGACACGGGTGGATTCTTCATCACGGTGTTCGAAAAGAAGGGCGAGCTCCCGGCTGAGATGGAGGCTACACCTGCAGTGGACGCCAACACGACGTACCGCATGGAGCGCGCGAACGCAGAATGGAACGAAAAGAAGCGTGTCGCGCCGGTGATGCGCGTGCACGACGCCGAAATCGTGAAAAATATCAAGAAACATTTCGGCGTGAAGGAGGATAAACATTTAGATTTAAGCTCGGGATTGATGACGCGTCAACACTCCGATCTCGCGGGCGTCACCCCAAAGCGGCTGTATTACCTCTCGCAGGGCGCGCGAGACGTATTAACGGCACTAACGAAGAATGGTAAAAACGCTGGATTGCAAGTCGTCGCGTGCGGCGTTCGGGCGTTCGAGCGCCAGATTGTCTCCAACGTCGATTGTGCGTACAGGATCACGCAAGAAGGCCTGGGTACCGTGCTCCCGCACCTGTCCAAACAAATCGTGCGCGTTCGCGCGAGCGAACTCGAGACAATTCTCGCCCGTCAGCAAGACGAATCGACAGCGTCACGATCAACGTCCCGAACGAGCTCGGACAACGTTCCGGAGGAGATCACGCACGAGAAATCTATCAAAAACATAAATAATGTGTCCGATGGGTGCGTCATCTTGGTCCCCAAGGCAAAGAGCCAGGAACATGAGCGCGAGGCGTCGGCGCTCGCCGTCGCATGTTGGCTCGGCAGAGGGGCGAGGGGGAAATCGTTATCGGTGTTGGCGAGCAAAACGAGCGGGGAGCAATTGTTGTATCAACTCCGTGACTGCATTGCGCGCAAAACCGTTGGCTGAGACGAGCTATTCGATAGGTTTCTCGTGTGATGCGTTCATGATGCTGAAACGACGTTGCCAGAGTCAACATCGTCTCGTTGTTCCACATTGTGTGTGTGACGTACTAGAGCGCGACCTCACACTTTGACGTTCTCGCATCCGCTTGAAATGTTCAAGCTGACTTGCACCGCTCTCTTACTTCTCTCCGCACTCGCCGTCGACGCGGATGATTCGATGGCCATGATGAACGATATGCCGGATGACGATGACACGCAAGCTGACATGTTTGGCGACTTTTTCAGAGAAGAGTACGCCTCTTACAGCTACCTGATGACGAACGCGACCACCGGCGAGCCTATCGAGGGTGCCGGAGGCATCGTCGCCCCGACGTTCTCTCGAGACAAGGTCAAGGTTGGCGTGTTCATCCCGGCGTCCTCGGGATACGTCGCGAGCGGGACCGAGACGGTGACCGTCACGGTGTGCGAGTTCATGCGACCAGAGAATTGTCTCAATGAAACACCCTATCCCGGGGCACCCGAAACGTACGCCTGCGGACTCTCCGACGAAACGATCGAGGCGACTGGATTCGAGTGCGACTCTCGAGAAGTCCCGATGGAAAACGACGGCGATTTGAGCGTCGAGGTCGAGCTCGAGGAGGACGACGAATCCATGGAACTCGACGATTACGCCGAGGCCCCGTCACCATCACCGGCGCGTCGCCTGCTCTCTGCCGCGCGGTTCGGTCGCGCCAATCCCAGGCGCTCGCGAACGCTTCGCACCGCCGGAACCCGAGGGTTCGGCCGCGGCTGAGCGCGTCGAGCCGGTTCTCAATCAAGCACGCCGCGCCTCCGTCGCGACCGAAAAAGACTCGTCATTTTCACTCGCATCCACGTTTTTCTCGCGAAATTCTTCCATTTCAATGCGATCACCCGTACTTGACCGATCCATCGCCTCACTCGTCGCCATGCGCGGCGCGCTCGCGCCGTCGCCGCGCGTCCGCCGCCTCACCCCACCCCGCCTCTCCACGCGCGCCACCGCGTCTCCGCGACGCATCGACCGTCCACGCACGATATGGATCGACACCGACGAGATCGATTGCGTCACCGCCGCTTTGGAGTCTGGCGTCGGCGCCGTCGTCGTGACCAGGAGCGCCGCATTCGCCGCGCGCTGCGGAACGCTCGCCTCTGGCATGGACGTTTTGACCATCGACGTCGAGTCGGGCTCGATACAAGACGCGAACGGAGCGACGCGAGCGATGGTGTACGCGTGCGAGACGCCGGAGGGGGTGGAGGCGATGAACGCGAGCGCGCGGTCGGCGGCGCTTTCGGGTACGGCGGCGGTGATGGACTGCGGGACGGGCGGGAATTGGAGCGTAATTCCGGCCGAAAACGCGGTCGCGGCGTTCGCGGGGAGCGAACGGGCGTTACTGGCGGTGGCGTCGACGGCGAGCGAGGCGCGGGTGTTCTTGGAGGCGCTGGAGACGGGGACGGATGGAATCGTATTGAGAACGCGCGACCCGAACGAGGTACGAGCGATGCGAGACGTCGCGAGCGGTGGATCGGTGGCGTTAGAGATGGCGACAGTGACGACGATCGAGCGCGTGGGCGCCGGAGATCGCGTCGCCGTCGATTGCGCGACGAATTTCGAGATTGGAGAGGGGATGCTATGCGGGAGTTACGCGAGCGGATTGTTTCTCGTACACGCCGAAAACGTCGAGTGCGGCTACGTCGCCTCGAGACCGTTTCGCGTGAACGCCGGCCCGACGGCGTCGTATTGCAAAGCTCCGAATGGCAAAACAAACTACTTGTCAGAGTTGGGCGCCGGGTCGGAGGTTTTGGTCGTCGCGGCTGACGGCAAGAGCCGCGTGACGAATGTCGCTCGAGTGAAAATCGAGCGCAGATCCCTCGTCTTGATCAAGGCCGAGCACCCGACCGCGGGCACTTTATCCGTCTTACTCCAAAACGCAGAAACCGTGCGACTGGTGCGTCCGAACGGCGAGCACGTCTCCGTGTCCGCGCTCCGCCCCGGCGCCGAAGTGCTCGTCGCCGTCGACCTCTGCGCCCGCCACGCCGGCACCGCCGTCGACGAAGCCGTCTGGTCCGAGCGCTGACGCCCCACCGATCCCAATGAATGTATTTCCACACCCTTTCTCCACCGCCCGTCGTCCGATCCGTCCCCTCCGGCTCGTCGTCGCGCGCGCCGCGCCTCGCGCCGCATTCGTCGCCTCTCGCGCCATGCGCGACCACGCCCCCCCTCGCCTCACGCCCTGTTGCGCCGACGGCTGCGCCAACGAGGGCGCGTTCCGATGCAAGGGGTGCGACAACCACGGCGCCGCGAGGTATTGCTCGCGCGCGTGTCAACTGCGCGATTGGAAGGATGGACATAAGCTGACGTGCGGGACGTGCGTGGCGTGCGGCGAGCGCCCGGGACCGAGCGCGCGCGCGTGTCCGGGTCCTCCGCGGCACGCCGAGATGGATTTAGTGCGCACGCTCGCTCAATTCACTCCTAGGCATTTCGTCGAGTACGCGTGCGAGCGGTGCGAGGGGAAAATCACGCGAGAGACGCTGGATGGCGAGGAACGCCAGGTGGGCCCGGCGGAGCGGTGCGGCACGTTGGATAATCACGTCATGCACAGAGCGTTGATGGGAGTGAATGATTTGCACGTGGGGCGTGAGGAGTGCGTGGTGTTGATTCCGGCGTCGGCGAAGGATCGAGAGCGATTAGGGATGGACGCGCAAAAGGCGCTGGATGATATTCCAGAGGACGCGGAGCGAATCGTGATTCGGGGAATAGGCGGATACTGCGAAGACGCGGGGGCCCTGAGGTTTCCGAACAAGACGTATCCGAAAGTAACGCATTTGCGCATTCATGACGTCTGTATGAAGTCGTTGACGCTCACGGATGAGTTTTTTCCGCGCTTGAACGGTCTCGACGTGGACAACAGTTTGCACGCGTGCGCGGCTTCGGGCGATTTGAAAATCATCCTCTCGGCTTTGAACGATCTCAAGCTGTATCGATATCAAGGCCCGCGAAAGGTTATACAGGACATGTTGGTCGCGGCGAAAAAATTGATTGCTTTCGACGCGTCCAAGCTTTGCCTCGATCCGTCGCCGGGTGACGATTTCGCTGCGCTGGATCTGACTCATTCTTTCTTTTTGTATCGGATCCGTCTCCATCGCGCCGATACATTGGGGGAATTGACGATACGCGCGCCCTATCTCCAAGAACTCACCTTGCACGCGTGCTGGAACTTGCGCGTCATGGACTTCGTGCCGCCGTACGGGTCAGAAGACTCGATTAGAAAACAACTTGTTGAGAGCGACGTGCGGGACAACGAGCACATCGACGTCAGCATAAAACTCTCAAAACTCGGTGAGCGCGCGCTCGCGGCGCTCAGGGAGCACCCACGCGTGGATCCTCTGGACATCAATTCGAGCGAAGACCGCCGATCGATGCACCCGAACTTCAACTCGCGCGTTATCTTTCGTGAGTTCAATCGCGTCGCCGTGAACGATTCATCGCCGGTTGAGGTGCTCGCCCGCGCATCGGCGGCGACGAGGAAGAAACAACGAGCTCAATGGATTCACCATCAGCGTCTCAAAGTCGACGCCGCGTACGCCGAGGACGCCGGGTATTTCGAGGATCTATGCGACGCCGAGTACGTCCGCGCGCACCTGTCCGACTACGAAGACTACTACGGCGACGATTTGGGCGCCGTCATCGCGCGCCCACCGACGACGTCGACGCGCCCTCCGAATCCTCCCACACTCTCGAGGACATATCTCG